AGATATTTATAACACTTTTTGTCGATCATTTCAGTATAATCAAAGCGTGCATCGGCGAATGTGAAATCCGTCCGGTCAACTTTTTTTTTTAGAAAAACATTTTGTTTTACTATGAAGTTTAAATTTTCATATAAGATAACTATTAATCTCGCAGATTTCTTTGTTGTATGAAAAAATATTGTAAAACAAAAGAGATATTACTAGTAACACTTTTTGTCGATCAGTTCAATATTGTAAAGCGTACATCAGTGAGTGTAAAATCCGTCCGGTCAACTTTATTTTGTTAGATTTTCATAAAATATAGTCTAATATTTCTAAGGTCTTCAAATATTAAAATAATCTATCAAATAACAAAAAAGTTCTGCCTATTTATATCTCATCCGGTCAATACTGGCAATTGTCCTGTCATTAGTTTAACCCAACTGTTGGCAGCGTATCGTCGCGATGCGGTATGTGGGAATATACTGGAAAAAATAACAATATACCAAGAGTAACAGCATGTAAGCGTACAGCTTCCGGAATTTGTAGTTTTCTGTCCAACAGAGGGATGTAAATAAGAACAATGAGTTTCGATGTTCCTTTGGTGTCAAACGCCTCTCTCTCTCTCTCTGTTTCTTTTTTTTTGGGGGGGGGGGGGGAGTGGAGTATGGGGGACACAAACACATGAACACGATTGATTCGTAGAGTAATCATATTTGTTGAAATATCAAACGTTATTTAAGAATAACGCCAGTAAAACATCACTGTAAAAGAAGCATACACAATTTTACATCGGTTGCTGGCTGTCGAAATCAAAGAAAATTTAGCACCGTATTATATAGTAAATTATACGCAATCTTCCTTTAATGCTTTGTACAGGCTTACATAATTTGGGCACAAAAAAAAATCATATTTTGTAGTATTTCTTCAAACTGTCAATTATAGCGAACTGTACGACCAGCAAGTTAAAAAAATAAGGCCGCTAGACGTCAGAGCAATCTGGGAATATCAAACACTATGCCTAGTTATTTTTGTACTATTGATGACCGTACTGCCTACAACAACAACAAAAAATCCACACTGTATATTTGGCTTAACAAGACTCCAACAAGAGAAATATTTAACACACACACATGTATTTATGTAGAGTAACATGTCTTTCAGAGTGCTAATCTGTAACCATCACATTAAGGTCCGTCTTGTGAAAGAGTATTCATCTCATATAGAAAAAAATTTTGTGCTGATATTCATGTAATATTTGCCACTGAAAGTTTTGAAAAAAATCAAGAAAAAAAACGAAAACAAAAACTAGTAATTCAGATGTAGGTTCGTGTTCAGATCACTCAATGTGATCACTTGCATGTCAACAAACAGTGATATAGGGAGATTGTCAGATTCCAAATCATGACTGTAAAGAACAACCATTTGTTTAATACAAAGGTAGCTGATTTACTCATGATACCTTGGTTCTTTTAAAAAAAACGGCCAACATGATATAGCAGAGTGCTGAAAGTGGCACACACAATCAATCAGTTATTTTCAAATTACCTATCATTAATCAGTTTTGGCAAAAAAGTATATAGGCTATACCATACTGAAACATAAATGTGATAAAAGAATATACAATTCAAGAAAGAGAGGTGCACCAACAGAAAATAGAAACTGCAATCTTTCTTTTAATTTCATCCGATCTCAGATCTCAAAATTTGAACTCTTACCAGAATTTATTCTATCTTGCAGTATAACTCGGAAGTTTCTAAGTGGAACTCGAGCTTTAACTAGAACTCTTACTCAAATAAACATTCGAATTAATATAAAACTGGAACTTTAACTCTAAATTTAGCTGGAACTCGAACTCTTATTCTACATCAAATGTTATCCACACTCTCATTTGTCATCTGATAAAAAAATTCGTAAGGGTTCCACGGAACCGAGTGTCTCGCCTACTTTTGCTGTTAATCGCAGGCTCAACAAAAATGAGGAAAAAAATCAATAAAAATATTCCTCTCGATACTATCTTTTGATTGTAAGAAGCTTCTGTCCAAGTTTGGTATAAATCTAGGATAGTTTATGGATCTAATAAATGTTTTAAAAACTTAAACTGCAGACTGTATGTAATGTTACCTGGGAGAAAAACTAAGTCCATTTATAAGTAAAATACGGATAAACAGGTACAAATTTTTGACAACATTTCCTTCGAGATACAAGCTTTTGATCAAAAACAAGCTTCTGTCCAAGTTTGGTACATATCCAGGATAGTTTAAGAAAGTTGTTAAAATCTTAAAAACTTTAACCACAGAGTGAATGTATTGTTTCCTGGCAGAAAAACTAAGTCAATTTATAAGTAAAATACGGAAAAAAACAGATTTTTTTTTTTTACAAAATTTACTTCTGGATACTATATTATGATCATAAACAAGCTTCTGACCAAGTTTGGTACAAATCCAGGATAGTTTAAGAAAGTTATTAAAAATTTAAAAACTCTAACCACAGAGTAAATGTATTGTTTCCTGGCAGAAAAACAAAGTCCATTTATAAGTCAAATATGGAAAAACAGGAATTTTATTTTTACAAAATTTACTTCTGGATACTATCTTAATTATGATCATAAACAAACTTCTGTCTAAGTTTGGTAGAAATCAAGGACAGTTTAAGAAAGTTATTAAAACTTCAAAAACTTTAACCACAGAGTGAATATTTGTGGACGCCGCCGCCGACGACGACGACGACGCCGACGACGGAATGTAGGATCGCTATGTCTTGCTTTTTCGATTAACGTCGAAGGCTCGACAAAAAACTAGAGTTAGATAAAATATATCAATATGTTAACAGAAACACGTATAGATGTGTCAATTAACTCTAAATTATCAGATGCATTGTATTTCTCATAACATACCAAAGTTGAGCGATTAATCGAACGGTAATAAAATATACGTAATACACAAAGTTTTAATACACAGGCGATGAACACTGAACATATTATGTACAATGAACATGAAACGATATATAAAAAATGGGTTTTATCTTCCCGGTGCGAATGGACAAGCTAGTGAAATTATGGTAACGAAATTATTCTGCCTGCAGTCTAAAAGGAACGTGTTACTTTTCAGCCCGAATACTCTCAGTCTTCCAAGGTAGAAGATTCTTTATCTGGAAGCCGAAAGTTATTTCTATAATACGACATGAGGCATACATTCGTTTTCCCCATACAACAAATGCAATTAAAAAAATGAGATGACTTCAACTTTGACAATTACTTTATAATAAACTGTTATTGTATCTATGTTTAACGATTCGATAGATTGATAAAAATATCAATGAATAATCAAAATACCTTAAAAAATGTTCAAAAATGATATGATATTTTGTAGTGAAAAGGTTTAATTCAACCCAAGCGTTGCAAGAAATGCTGTTATGCCAGCAACGTCGTTCTATAACGTTAACAGAAAAGGTAATAGTTCCCGCCAAAATTCAATAATAAGATTATTTCCGTTTTAGCGGATTTAAAACATCGGTGACCCCCCCTTTTTTATTTATGCTTTTAAAATCTTCCCTGAAGCTGCAACTTATGCAGAAGTTTGAAGGGAAAAACATTAGTAGATTTTTTTTATTTCAAGAAAAATCTATTATAAATAGCAATTAAAAATGGCGGGAAATGTTCAAAGGCCTTCAAAAATAAGGAAACCGAGACAAATAAATGTTCATAAGGTACAAGTTACATTTGACTGTTTTTGTTATTCCAGTTAAACATCGTTTTTCAATAAGTTTGTCTTTTTTTTAGCAATTTAGAGCGGTATTTCTATGTTTCGTTATAACGCGATTCTTTAAGTTTTGGTGACGTCATATCTCGAAAACAACATCGGTGACCCCAATTTTTTTTTCGCCTGAAATATCTTAATAAGTATGATCTGTCTACATGCAAAATTTCAATGAATTATTATTAGTAGTATAAATAGTGTGATTTCCCTTTAAGTATACTTCCTACAAGTCATAGTGAAAATTACGTAAACATGAAATATTTAATTAATAATAATTCTTTAAATGTCCTGAAAGTGACTAGGTCTTATATACGTAAATGTCTAGATTATAGAAAGGAGATTTTATCTTCCTAGATATAACATATTATTTCATTATGCTGTATTCATTGGAATAATCTTCTGAAATATGGGCCATTGTCAATCATTGTAGTTATGTTGGTGTCAATAAAATATTTGTTTTTATTTGTTGTTTCTGTTATATTTATGATGTCTTGTCAATCAATAACCCACATATCAGTAATTGCTTGCACCTCATATATTAATTCTTGTTTAGCAGACGATACTATCAATTTATTTAATTGATGCAATGTTTAATGCTTAAATCTTATCAAATCTTATTAGTCATAAAATTGAGAATGGAAACGGGGAATGTGTCAAAGAGACAACAACCCTACTAAAGAGCAGAAAACAGCAGAAGGCCACCAAAGGGTCTTCAACACAGCGAGAAAATCCCTCACCTGGAGGCAGGCTTCAGCCTGCCCCTAAATAAAAATGTATACTAGTTTAAAGAAAATGGACGTCACACTAAACTCCGAAGCATATAAATGAACCAAAATTTATAAAAAAACACACAAGACTAACAAAGGCCAGAGGTTCCTGACTTGGGACTGGAGCAAAAATGCTGCGGGGTTAAACATGTTTTGTGAGATAGCAACCCTCCCCCTGTACCTCTAGCCAATGTAGAATAAACAAACATACAGCAAAACTCACAGTAAAACTCAGTTCAAAAGAAGTCCGAGTCCGATGTTAGAATAGGTAACAGAAGAAACTAGGAAAAATGACAATGATACTTATTTTGAAATATTTTCATATTACTGCGGTCTCAACTTCTTTACAATTTCACTATGGTCAGCATTGTGTTTATCATATCCGTTTAATATTACGAACATTATTTGCAAATAAAAAAGAATAGATTGGCACAGTTACAGTACTATAATTACGCAACACACATGTTTTACACAAATATGCGATGCATTACAGTAACATGCCAATGGAGGAATCGTTCTACATTAGAAATCCAGATGCGTGTGAGTTTGTTTTGTTGTAATTTTATAATGTGGTTTGATCACCACGGAATACATTGAATAATTTTCTATCCTGATGCTTTAAATATGTTGATTTTCGAATATGATTAAAAATTTAGAAAAACAACACACAAAAATATGTAGATCATTTGATGCTATAATTTTCTGCTAAATATAACAAACGATGTAAAATAGAGGCAGCAGATAGTAACGGTTGCCTGTGATGTAAGTTTATTTTAATACGATTATTTCCTAACTTTTCATTTTCAATAATTGAATTTTGGATGTAACACGTCTTCTGATTGGCTTAATGTTTTTTGTCAATCAGTTCATAGACATTATTTTGTCATGTGACCGTGACGTCATCAAAGTTTTTTCCTGATTTACTCCTTAAAAATGGAATTTATAATTAAATTATAACGAATGACTGTAATATTTTCCTGTCTATTCGAAATAACCTGAATAATGTGGTGCACGCGGGTTATTCAGTTTGCACCACATTTTTGATGTTATTTCTTCATAGAAAGAAAAATTATTACAGTCATTCCATAAATGTATTTTCCTCCTTTCTTTGTATGTCAACCGTCAATAATCTGTATGTTTTCGAAGCTACAACAGATAAGTTCATGAAACAAAAAACGATAAATAAACTGATATGTAGTAGAAAATAAACGATTGAAATGCAGCCAAGGAAACAGATTCAATTTTGATATTGAAATTATCTAAATACAAAACAACATCTTGAAAAGTTCTTTAATTTCACTTTTAGATATATTTATGATGTCTTGTCCATCAATAACCCACATATCAGTAATTGCTTGCACCTCATATATCCCTGTGAACTTGAGACGAAGGTCTGCTTTAAACCTTGTTATTTTCCTCCATATTGACACAGATGGACGACTTCAAACTACGACAAACGTGATAAATTCAACTACCCAATTGTCAACTTCCCATTTCTCAACATACCTTCTCCTCCATCGTATGGTGTCTACATATCTCAATTTATACGTTACGTTTGCGCATGATCCGTTTATACAAACATACTTAGTATGGGTGTGTACCTTACACAATATAAAAATAAGGAGATGTGGTATGTGTGCCAATGAGACAACTATCACCAAAGTTCAAATAAAGTGGATGTAAGCAATTATAGGCAACCGTTCGGCCTTCAACAATGAGAAAACACCATACAGTATAGTCGGCTATAAAAGTCCCCGACATGAAAAATATGAAACAATTCAATTGAGAAAACTAACGGCCTAATTTATAACAAAACAATTTACGAAAAACAAATATGACAGACATGAACCAACGACAACCACTGAACTACAGACTCCCGACTTGGGACAGACACATAAAGAATGTGGCCGGGTTAAGCATGTTTGTGAGCGCTTAACTCTCCCCTAACCTGGGACAGTGGTGTAACACCACAACATAAGAACAAACTATAAAAATTAGTTGAAAATAGTTAACTCATCATATCGATACAAACCTGCTTTAACAGAGTTATGAGTAACTTTGACTGAAATTGACACCATATATATATATATTTAGGGCTCAGTGATGAATAGGTAGACCGAAACGATACGTATGTGTTTCAACTCCCTATCGAGTTGCGTTCACAATCTTAGGCCGTAAGATCCATATCAGTATAATTACCATGGTGTGTAATTTGGCGTATATTTTTGTTTGTGTTATTTTGTATAAAGATATATTTTATTTTTTAAAAGAATATTTTACCTATGCTATGGCAAGTACTCCACATGTCACACAGTTTGCTCAAAGTAATTTGTTTTGAAATATTAATATAAACATACTGCCCTTGGATGTAGGTGTTAGGGTAGATTAACACACGAGGGGAAAAATATCTCCGAGTGTGTTAATCTACCCTAACACCTTCATCCAATAGCTGTATGTTTTTTTTTATTATACTGAATGCCTTATGATGCAAGTGTGCACTATGTAAAAAAAAGAAAGTAATAATTTAAGATAGTTTATTAATAGCAACAACAAAACGACGGAAAGGATGTAGGAATAAGAATCGGTAAACCTCGGCCGGCGCGGGTGTTGATTGTTTCGTGCACAGCGGGTATTAATTTTAGGCATTAACACCCGTTGCTAATATTATCACATGTTGCTATGGGTGGGCGGGGATTATGAAAATTAACAAATGCCGCGTGTCCAATGAAATGAATGGATGATATAAGAAATTTGCATAAAGTATAATAATTGTAATTAGCATGTCACTAGGATATTTTAAAGTTTTAAGTAAAGGTTAGACAATACTTGGTCATGTTTTATGAAGAGTTAAAGCCCAAGGCGTAGCCGAGGGTTTTAAATGTTCATAAAACATGACCAAGTATTGTCTGACCAATTTAGAACATATTCACACTTTCGATTGACCTTACAAAATTATCATTTCCCATTGTAATATTCAAACATTGATAAGAATTCACTTTTTATAATGAAGTGTTAACTACGTTAACAAAAGGAATGTATAACATAGGTAATGATCATTTCAATGGATGGAATGAAATAGCACTAACATAGTTTAGTGAGGACAAAAAGGATAAATTGTTCAAACATTGAGTTTTTCTTCTGCTTCAGATAAAATTTAATACTTATATACCTTACATTTCTTGATTTTAAAAAGCCAACAATGTTATATAAATCAGCTTTTTGAAATTTGTATATTTTTTGTTTATAATTATAAAACTCACTCTATAAGTATTTGAATTACAACCATTCAACATCAGATGCTTACTTTTTATTGATGAATGTACACGTATTGTGTTTTTTTTCGAAAAAAAAATCCTTTGCTTTATATATCAGCAGTCTGACATTATGTTCTTGAAAGAAAAAAAATAATTGACTCGAATGTCTGGTATCAAAATTGAATAAAATTTAAAGATAATTTTACCTACATCTTTGCCCCCATTTCATTTTTTGTTTGTTATATATATGTACCATGATAAACATTTGCAAAATTCAAAATTTCTTTTTATAATTCTATTCTCTTACATCTTTAATCAGTAGGCTATTTTTCCAAGGAAAATGCCTCAGGGGATTGTACACTTCGTTAGCGTAGTTATTAAGAGTTCCCTTTCATAATTAATCTACAATGAAAAGTTATTCATGTAAAGCATTTTATTTTTGCATGGAAAGCCATGTACTATGAAAATTAGAAGGGAAAAAACTGACTTTTCATTGGACGAGAAGTGGTGAGTATGTTTTAACCAAACATAAAGGGATTAGGCTTTGTTTATAAGTTTTTATTTTTGCTAATGAGAGCACTATTTACATGCCGAGTCACATTGATTTATTTTTAGTTTTGATAAAAATAGGGTTTGAAAGTTTGGAAAGGCAGTCATATATATTTATATATAATAAAGGTATAATTTAGTCAAATCCAAAGCATGCAGAGAATGACAATTCAATAAGGACGTATGAGACGCGGTGTACTTGTACTAATGCAATAAGCGCACTTATGAGAACATGTCAGGGAAAAAATAAGTCTAAAAAACAAATAAAAGAAGAAAAGTATGCATTTTATTCTTTATGAAAATAAGTTTTACTTATATACTAAAATCAATAATTAATCAGCTTGAACTTTTTAACATAATTGTTTCTTTTCGCTCCCTTAGTATATGTAAGAGAATGCTAATCCCTTTCTTCATGAATAAGTCACGAGCGTTAGCGAGTACTTATCATGAAGTAAGGGATTATCATTCTCTTACAAACTTAGAATATTGTAAAGTGCTCAAGGCTCAAATGATCTATTCAAGAATTAGTTTCATTGTCAGTGCAATGTTTATAATTGATGCATGACTTCCTTTTTCGGCATGTCATTTATGGATAAGTTTTAGTGATGTGAGGTCTTTCTTATTATTTGGGAAATATTTTTAAAAAAAATGCGTTATAGATATTAGGTGACACAACAGTAGAAAGAAAAGGTAGGAATTGTATGTTTCCTGATTGTGAGTATGAATGTAAATCATGTAATATTTTAGTGAGGAATTATCCTGTTTTATTTACAGTTTAAATCAATTAATACATTAGAGTTACAACTAAATTTTATTTCACAGTGAGCCAATAATTTGGTCCGGCTTTTTACATCAAATACTGTTTCATTATGTCAGGGAAATGCTAAAAAAATAATGCCCTTAAAAGTTTTTAATATGTTTAAAATTTAAATCCTGTTTTTTTATCGGAATAATTGTATTGAAAATAACTATTCTCCCCAATTGCTGATCAAGTAATCAAAGTTTTGGAAAGCTAAAGATTTAGGTTATTTTTTATCTGAAAGATTTTTTTTCTTTTTTTTTTTTTTGCATTGCTTTGGTATTGTTTAATTTTATAGTAATTTGAAGTTATTAATATTTTCATAATAAAACTCACGGTACCAATTTTACTGCACCAGTAAACTTCAACTTATTTTGAGATTTTTGTTTGTTTCACAATTCAACTTTTAGTCAGATTCAATCACTGTGTGCTAAATCCTTTCAATCTGATAAATGTGCTTCGGGGCAGTTGTAACTCATTTATAGAAACTCTTTGTTTTGAACTGTAAATAGACCCAAATAATAGGATAATCCCTTACTAAGAACATGATTTACATTCATTCTTCACAATTAAGAGGCATCCAATTCTACAATTTCATTGGTCGAGAGTACTTTGCTATATTCTAAATTTTAGGAGATTAAATCCAAATAATTATACTAAAATTAATACTCCGATATTTTTATTTATCAATCAATAAATAGTACGACTTTAGGGAATATAAAAAAAAACCTCGCAGACAACTAAAGGCATTTTGTTTACACCATAACAGGTATTTGAAAACATGAAAATTAAATATAACAATTTTTATATTATATTATAATCTGGCGCAATACCCTACATGGCAGTCGTCATTAACCCAAATTAGTAGTAGTAGTAGTAGAAAGGCATTCAGTGTTTTGGAACCGTAACCTCTCACTACCCATGCCTTTTATACTTAACCTATAAGACTGTTCACCAGTCTACCAGTTGATTGTGTAGTGTTGAGACAAATTTTTCTTTGACTCGTTATTTAAATTTGTCAAATACTTTAGAGAATCTTTTTTTTGTCTTTTTAAATTAAGATTTCAGCTGAAAATGATTTACATCAGCATCAGGATATTGGTCTGGAGAGCTGCGCACTAATACATACCGCCATTGTGTTATTGTGCTATGGTCATTTTTTGTATTTCTGTCTTTAAATTTTTCTTATGTGTTTTGTCGATATGCCATTTTGTTTTTCTTTGTTGACATATTTGTTTTGTTTTTATAGTGATTACAATTATACACAATGTTGACTGCTGTACCCCTGTTTTTGACATTTTTACCTATTATGTCTGTTTGTTTTGTTAACACATTGTTGTCAATATAATGGAATTTTATGCGACGTCATGCAAGTGAGAGGTTTAGCTAATTATAAAACCAGGTTTAATCCACCATTTTCTACATAAGGAAATGCCTGTACCAAGGATTATGACAGCTGATTTCCATTCGTCCATTCTCAAGAGTGTGCCGTGTGTTCTTTCGTCTGAATTTTTACTAAATGGACGAAAACTCCCAGACGCATGGTAAGCAGCATTGACAATTATATCACCAAAATGTTTTACAGTATTATTTATAGTATTTAGGTTCGTCTCTTCTTCTGTTAGTACTACTAAATAGTAGATCCAAAGCATTAATAATAGATCCAATTCTAGTAGAATTATCTTAGTCAATTTGGTAGTACATAAAAATATCACTCTATAAAAATAGTGCCTACGAAAAGTTTTTCTGGATTTACCTTCATCAAGAACTCCCAAATAAAATAAAAAATGAAAGTCTGGGATTTAATACTTGACATGCTTTTTATGAAATTTTTTTTTTTTATTATTATTAGCTGCTACTTTACATTGTACATTTCATGTACATTTATTACCGGTCCCTGCATGTTACTTTTGATATTCATTGTGATCAATGCTTTATCATCTTTTGATGGTGTCTTCTTTTTTCAGGTATGCATTAACTAGTTTTACTATAGTAGTTTTCTTTATTTTGTGATAAGATATGACACGGATAAGCGGATGGTTTACAGGAATGGTATTGTTTTCATCTTTATATTACGTATCTAGTGGGTAAGCCAAATATGATTTTCATCACTTTCATTTAACATTCATAAACTAATAAGTCATGATCAATGACAATTTCCTACATGTTCTTTGAAGTAATGTATTGCCTAATAAAAGGGTGTAATTTTCGAACAAGCTCTTTTAAATACGTGTTCATCATGTTGATAAACTAGTTTCGAATCTATAATGTATGACCGTTTAAAATTGAAAGACGGGTAATAAGCAATCTTTAATCGCATTAATAGAAAAACAAAACAGTGATAAAATGAAAATATTTCCAAACTAATGACATTAGTCATACATTATACAATTTGATGTTAACCACCTAACATACCGCTGTACCAAACTAATGACATTCGGCATACATTATACAATTTGATATTAACCACCTAACATACCGCTATACCAAATTAATGACATTAGTCATACATTATACAATTTGATGTTAACCACCTAACATACCGCTATACCAAATTAATGACATTAGTCATACATTATACAATTTGATGTTAACCACCTAACATACCGCTGTACCAAACTAATGACATTCGGCATACATTATACAATTTGATATTAACCACCTAACATACCGCTATACCAAATTAATGACATTAGTCATACATTATACAATTTGATGTTAACCACCTAACATACCGCTATACCAAATTAATGACATTAGTCATACATTATACAATTTGATGTTAACCATCTAACATACCGCTATAACAAACTTATGACATTCGGCATACATTATACAATTTGATTTTAACCACCTAACATACCGCTATATCATAAACAATTCGAATACATATCATCTGTTTTATATCATTATTAATTCGAAATTCGTTGTTCCTCCCCATAACTTTGATGGGCAGTTGTTATGTAAGGAGAATACAGGGGAGGATCCATGATTTTTGAAATGGGAGCGTAATTCCATAAATGTGAAGAAAAACTGTCGAGCGTAGCGAGGCGAAGATTTTATCGACGATTTTATGGTAAAAAAAAATGATAGAGTTTCAACGTCGACCCCCCTGAATCCGCCACTGGAATACCCCTTCAAATGAAATGTGTATAAAATGAAAATCAATACTGTTATTGTAATTGGAACACGCCAAACAATGGAGCAGACGCATTGATACTGCTGAGAAATGGAAACTTAATAATTGGAAATTTGAAATCTAGGACGTACAATTTCTTATTTTTAAAAATGAAATAATACAACTTTTGAAACGTTGGCATATTGTAATGCCGGCCTTCCCCCCTTTTTATAGTAAATCTATGTCTGTATAGTTTCTGGAAATTATTGAGGATAAATGATAGATGTTAGTGAGATGTCTAATGTTGCAAGTAATGTCAGACTTATAATTTGTTATTTTGGCTGTTGTTTCAATGATACGACAGATTTGTGTATGTTAGTTTGTTAAGAAGTTTTATTTCACGTACTGATTCCATATTTTCGCGGTAGTTACCTTATTAGAATATAAACTCGAATAAAACTCTTCTAATGATCTACTAATGTATTTAAAGTCAAAACCCATCTTTATTGATGATGATCAATCCATGTTTACAAATAATATCAACATTACGGGAATTTCCCTTGTGTGATCCATGGTTGCCGATTGGTAAACAATATGTAACAAGCTCTGCCATTGGTCAATCGGAAGTATAAAAGCAAAAGCAACAACAGAACCGACGGATTGTTGGGTTGGCAAAGTTGGAAAGTATCAAATTTGAATAGAAGCTAAAATGTGTCTGATAATCACAACCAAGCGTTGAAAGTTAACTTTGTTTTTATTGAAGGTTGTCGGTGCCGGTGCTAAATCGGGTTGCCGGTGACGGTGCTAAATACGGTTGCCGGTGACGGTGCTACGGTGACGGTGCTAAATACGGTTGCCGGTGACGGTGCTAATTATAATGTAGTTATATAGACGGTGCAAATTAAGGTTGTCGGTGACGGTGCTAAGGTTGTGGGTGACGGTGCTAAATCAGGTTGCCGGTGACGGTGCTAAGGTTGTGGGTTACGGTGCTAAGGTTGTGGGTGGTGGTGTTAATTAATATTGCCATTGACAGTGATTAAGTTTGTTAGCGATAGGAATTGTTTTATGAATGACGAGACTAAATAATATTGCCGGTGAGAGTAATAAATAAAGTTGTGGAGGACGGTGCTAAGGTGGTTAATGACAGTCCTAAGTAAGGTTGTTAGTGACGGGGGTAAAATTGTTGCTTTCTATATTTAATATTTGTTTTAGATGTTTTATGATGATAAGTCGATGTTGAATACTGTGAAATGGTGATAATATCCTTAAATTGGGATTATTGAAAGAGTCCAAATAAGGGACCACCGGGTTACTTAACTGTTGAATTATATATTATTAGCTGGTTATTATCAAAAGTTTGTTTGTATACTGTAAGACCAACCATTACCGGGAACCCGAACAGACCAGTGACAGAGCCTGTCAGACCCATTCTCTCCGTCGTGGATTATTTTTGATATTAATAAAATATGAAACTTTATTTTATTCAGATATTTTATTTAACAACTGAGAATATATATATAACTGCAAATATACGATTTCCCTTTCTGTAACGTGTTTTGGTCCGACGGTAAACAGTGGACGTCGAACCTTACACTTTATAGAACCTTTTACTCTCTTTTTCTTTGTGACCCTGTGTTCTCTGGTGGCCGACTCTAGCACCAGGGAGGCAGCGTTTCAATATTAATGACGTAATTGTACCTGACATTGCATCTTTAAACAATTAGAAATTTAAGGGTAAAGTGTTGTTGAATTTATCAAACAAATGCAATTTACACGGGTCTTTTCTCAGTTTAGTCATAAACTGTGATTCATAACATTACAAGAACAAGTCTGCTATTAAAGTGGTGCAATTGGTGCCCATAGGAATACCTACAACCTGTCGATACACTTTATGGCCGAAACGTACATAAATGATATCAAGGAGAAAATAAACCTCTTCAATCATCTCATCATACCTCCGGTAATTATATCTAGCATGTTTACCTTTCTCATTACTGAAGAAGGCTTGAAATAAATACTTATCTCTACTAATCCCTTTGGATACTGTTTTGATTTACTAGAAATGTTGCATATAATACAAATGCTTGACATTTTTATAAGTGGTTGTAATCAACTATCATCTGAATGGACTAGTTCAATCAGTTATGGTATTCTGATTTACAAAACTCAATAATAGGGCATGCAAATAAATCATAGAAACAAATCGTGAATTCGAAAAAATATTTTGATTCGCTGGAAGGCAAAAACACCATGCAGATTAACGTAGAAAGTGAGGAAGATGATTTAACAATGAAAAAAAATGAGCACAAAGGGGAAAAGTTTGATCATTTGTGATGAACAATACATTTTATAATGTCATATGCAATTTTCCCAATTATTCATGTTATTGCACATATTTTAGAATTATACCTGATGTGTTATAAAAAGTAAACTAACAAAAATACCGAACTCCAAGGGAATTTCAAAACGGAAAGTCCTTTATAAAATGGCAAAATTTTGTTTTTTTTATACAAAAACAGTTACTGCTGTTTTCACTCTCACCACCATCATATATCTTATTCATTACCTACTTCGTTCCTGGACCGATCATAGTAAGCGTATTAAAACCTTCAATCACAACACTTCATGAAATCAAAAACACTATATCATCATTATGAGATCAGATCGCCATTTTTGCAGCTAAAAAAGAAACAAAAGTCTGTCTCATAATTTTTTACAACTGTATTAACCGCTGCCTGGTTGAAATGCCTACAGATAAAACAGAAACAGCCAGTTTACAAATAATTGAAAACAAAATCTTCGTACAATAAGTTATGGATGGGGGCGTATGAGTTTCGAATGATTAATATGTGCTGTTTAATAAACAAAGGAATATTTTTACGCTTTCAAAATTCATGAACATCAGTTGCAACGTTAATCTCATTATTTAGAGAAGTCAACTACCGCTAAGTAAATAACGGGAGATAACTTACCTGCCCAAATTCCTAACCATATTCTTTCTTGCGTATGTCTCGTGCCAGGTCATTGACGAAGCGTCAAATTAGAAGGCAATGTGTGCAAGGGGAGAATAAAGATGGTCAACAAGCTACATATAAGGACTTTGTTTTTTATCATAATCTACATATAGGGATATTTTTCGTGCAAAATATTGACGAAAATTATATAGGAAACACTAATAAGACTAGTTGTAGCGTGTCATTAGTTTACTTAGATACGTACAAAAATTATATTTTGCAAATCTATACTGCTAAAATAGCGAGGTCCAATTTGTTAGCCGGCATGACGTTCAAACGACGAATCAAAGAATTCAACTTTATATATAACTAATATAGGACATTGGTGTTGTTTAAAAATTACACTATTCCAGGTCCTTTGCCTTTCCACATTATTACCATATGTACCAATAATTAACAAGTTCCGGGTCGAATCCGATATCGATACCAATAGTATATGTCGCATGTAGTCTCCGGTTACCTGGTACCTTCTGTAAATCCCTCCTCTATCAGGAGAACCAGTTAATCTTCCAGTAGTTGTTTTATATCCATGTTACACTATAGTACATGTACTATTTAACAAGTCTGTTTTCTTCCACCTCAATACCACTATTAATTTTGGATAATTAGTTAAAAAATCGAATTTAGTTTAAGAAAACCAGAACGGGTTCAAACAGAAATATTTTGAAAGCAGAGAAAACTGTGCACCCTGCAATCAGCTTGACTTTATCAGATGACAATACGAATGCTAAATATCCAGGCTAAATATAAAACATAGGTACTTTAATTCAATCACGGACCCGCGGTGTGTTCTAGTATTGCTTAAGATAACACGATACCAAACGATGTTACGTAATGAGTTATCGTTCCTGACGTTATTGAACAACGTTCAAAGATACCAGTCAATGCAGCAGGGTCTGTCGTGTTTCTGACGGTTAACGACACAATAGATGTAGGCCTTACGCTGTACTTTCAACACGAAATAATATAATAATAGAATAACCTTACATTTCTAATTGTTACTACGAGAGATTTGATGCATACATTATTTGACATTGATTGCTTCGTGGTCTGCCTCCCTTTCTTCCTCTCATTATCTACATTTAAATATATGCTTTTTAAATGTTATGTTTCTATCAATAAGTAAGCATTAAAAAAAATTACGATTGATCTATATATGATTTTATGCATAAAAGACATACTTTTTTTTTATTCTTGGCTGTTTTTTTTTTTTTTTTTTTGCGATAAATTGTTATAATTTTAATATGATGCACGCCGTCTCCCGATTAAATTTGTTTTGAAAGTAGAAATCCAAACTAAAGAAATGGAGGATAATAAGTGAAAGTATCAATGAGCCATTCAACTGTTTATCAAAATATATAAATCAAAACAAATAATATAAGATTTTCTCGAATAAAAAGCCGGACCCAATCGATGCGTATTTTTGTTTAAAAGGCGGAAAAATTACTTTCCTTTTGGCCGTAGTTCGTATTGTATTTGAGTCATTATAAAAACTGGAAATAAAATAAACAATTTGTAAAATATATAACAATTAAGAGCAGGTAAAATATCTTAAAATGAATTATTAAATATTAACTGCAACTCATATATGAAGCTTTTCATGGAGATAATTGAATGAGCATACAAAAAAGAAATGCATGATAGTCAATTTAGAACAATAACAGTTAACTCCCTTTGCATATATACATTCTGACTTATATGTATTATCCTATTTTATTAAGATTCTAGATTTCTGCTTTATATCAAGTTAACATCTTTTTATAAAATGTGTGTAGAAGACCATCTTGATAACCCGGTGTGCCCATTTTTATTCGTATTTCAGAAATTAATATTTTTAATTGATATGCCTACATTTTTTAACATAAGTTAAGGGTTCAATTCAAATCAAAAGTAAATGGTTATTAAAAGACGCAAACAAATACTTGCGAATGCACATGTGAAATGAGTTAGACATATACCCGTGTATTGAATTACAGTAATACATACATTTGTAAAGCAGTGAATTGCAATTTTAAATATAGTTTAGATATATTAATCAAAAAGTTTGGTAATTTGATAAACGAAATTTTTAGAGAGTTTGTTTATATTGAATTTTACTGATTTTCTTTACAGCGTCATATATCATTACTTACATGTACTCTTTCCATCTATTCCCCGTCAATTATTGAGGTAGATGGTACGTAGTTGCTTCTAGATGTTGATTTCGTTGAATTTCTAGTCACTTTCACCATGTAATACTTTTTCAAATTCAAATAATTTAACAGAACAAATGATATATAACAAGAAAACTAAAAACCTCAGGTAGCAATGCTGTCATACAAAGTAAATTTTAGTGCAGTAATTTTGACATGGACTTGTGCATTGGCTCATCACTTAGTAAATTATTGTGATTATTGATATTGAAGGCAAATAGAAAATTAAGATTTTTTTTAATGTTCTGAAGATAACCGTAGTTTGGTCAAAAATATTTGCTAAAACTATTTTGTTTGTAAATGACAATTTGTATTAAGTAGGAAACTATGACACAGTATAACGCTTGCATAATACGTTATAGTATTTAAAGTTGCCTACTCTTTGTTTTGCACATTAAATCTATGTTCTTTCGCAGTCTATTACATTACATTTATTATAATTGGTTTTGAATATTCTGAAAAGAAATCGCTACTACTGAACATAATTTTTAAAAGTTCTAAGAATAAACATGCTCTGCCATGATTTAGATAAGTGATGTCATTGTTTTGTTTTTATTTGTAATGCTTCAGTACTGCTATTCTTATAGTTTAGTAATTAGAAATAATACCAAAGTAATTCAGATAAGTTTAACAATTGACAAATGACAAACTGTTATGTTACTGTCATCCTTATATTATATTTATACTTTGTAGACATTTTTGCAAAAGACAAAGACAATACCAGTATGACACTTGTCTTTCGGGTGGTTACGGGTATGTATTCTGATATTTGACCATAATGGGTTGATATGAATAAATTAAACACTCAAGACATTACTATTCAATATCTGAATTTGAATTTTGATACCAACGCGTAACATAAATTTTACATTTCCGAGGGTCTGGAGATGTTTTAGGTTGTCGTACAAGACTGGTATTTAACGTGATAAACATATTTATTCAAAATCAATAGAATGAAGGTGAGGGGTAAATGTGAAGACGAATTGGATATCCAACTTAACATATTCAATTAATACAGTATTACACGCTAAGCGTCTTAAGGTAAACTGAATTTGCGACAGTAAAACCTACTTTTTTCCAAGTTTAATCTTAAAATGTTATGCAGTTATCTCCTTAATCTACATATCTTAAAACACATAACTTATAAGTGAAGCATTTCGCTTCATTAATTTTTCCTAAAAATACTTTTTTATGTTTAATTTTACCTCGGCTTTTTTTATACTGTAATGTTATTGTGTAATTATAAAATAAAAGTTGTGTTATCCTCAAAGGAATGTCATTTCATATTGCTCTAGAATATAACTGATTTTCTACTAGAGATAATATTCAGAAATTCCCGTGCAATTAGTCTATTATTGTACATTAAAATTTATATGCGATGAATTGACATTTAGCTCTAAATCTAAAATTCTCATGTAAACATTTAAAATTAGAATTAATGGTAACAGTCTCTTGAATATTGCCTAATCAGAGCCCTATATAATACATATATAACACAGGAGCACATGTACAGTTGCAACATGTCAGTTTACAATTTATAAGTAATTTTAATCATCTCTTATTATAGTCAAGTTTATTGAGAACACAACCGACCCTCCCAGTTGCTTTCTGTGTGCAGGTCATGCATGAATGACCATTTGATTTTTTGAAGGGGTGAACATTTCAGGCCATATTTTTATGAAAGTTACATAAAATGTTTGTTTCAACAATGTCTCGGACTAGGTGGAATCAGTTCAAAACTACTTTTTTCAAAGGAGTTATGACCCTTGGAAATATAAGGATAATTGCAATGTAAGCGCTCTCAAGGCTACATTTCTGTTAGAATCATTATTAAATTTATTTCAAAGGCTTATATCAACAATGGTTGGAACAAGTTTGAAAATCAACGCTGATTAGTTATTTTTACAGGAGTAACGTTCCTTACAAATGTAAATTCTATAGAAAATTGCATTGTAATTGCTATCAAGTGTACAATTCTTGCCAGATATTTATTAAATTTTTATCATAGGATTATATCAGCAACGTTTCGGATGAGCTCCAAAATCAGTGCCGATCTACTATTTTTAAATGAGTTATGTGCCTTGGAAATATAAATTATGTAGACAATTGCATTGAAAACACTCTTGCATCTACATAGGATTGCTATGAAATTTAAACTATTGGTTTGTATCAGTAATATCTCGAATGAGTTCGAAAATCAGTGTCTATCAATAATTTTTGAAAGAACTATGCCCCTTGGAAATTTTGATTATATAGAAAATTGCATTGTAGGCACTATCACACATACATTTCTTGTTGACTTTTTAATGAAATGTATATCAAAGTTTTATATCAGAAAGATCTTTGAAGAGTGCAGTCCAACTTTTTTTATAGGATTTATGCCCCTTTGAAATATGAATTATATAGAAGCGTTCTTGTGCCTACATTTATTATATGATATTTATTAAAAATTATAAAAGGGTTTTGTTTGCTTACTGTCCTTAGACAGATAAAATATGAGCGAAGCAGGGGACATTGGAACGCTGTACTTTTATTAAAAGTTTTGGGTTCGCACCTTCGCTTTACCCATGTTTGTAATGTACATTATGAACATATTTTGACAAGGCCTGAATTTGTTTCCGTACAAATTGATTGTATTTCTTTTTATTTTTATTTGAATGACTAAAATAACATACATTTATTATAGGCTATGAAATGGTTAGCTTTAGTCTGCTTTTGAAGTAAACGGTCAAAGATCCTTGGTAAGAATAAAAAAGAAAACAAAGGTATCTACTGTGGATTGGAATATAAATCATATACACAAATGTCTGCAAAATGGCAATCTAATTAAAATATAGTTCTCTGATTTCGCTATACTTATATGTACGAGCACGCGAGTTAATACAGGTCTGAATTTTAATCAGATTGGCAAAATGGAAAGTTCTGAAACTCACTCAACTTTAAAAATATAATTGCAGTTTAACGCAATATCAGGTCTTCAATTTATGGTATGATTTTCCAACGAAATGAGCCCGCAATTTTTGTTGTGCTTTTTTGCCGTATTGGAACGTCTGTATACTCAGTTTTTTTTTATTTGGTATAATAATAAAGTTATTGCATGTAAACTAATAATTAAAATATTTAAATGTATGCAGGTGTTCAAATGCAAAAAGTTACAGAGAGATCATTTGCTGCGATAAATGGAAAGGATATACCTGTGACATTCGTAAGTTTTTAAAAATAATACAAATATCATTATTTCATATCCAATGAATATCTTCAGCTTAGTCTTTAGTTTTCTATGTTGTGTCATCTGTACTATTATGTGTCTGTTTGTCTTTTTATTTTTGGCCATGGCGTTGTCAGTTTGTTTTCGATCTATGAGTTTGACTGTCCCTCTGGTATCTTTCGTCCCTCTTTCATTTGTTATGCATAGAACGATGCAATATACGGTTACTCTAAGCAAATCAAAATATCGAAAATTTTGACCAAAGCAGAATAATATTATTATACTTGTACTTACAATGTCTTAACTTAATGTCTTGATTGGGGACTTTCCTTTTTGAATTTTCCTCGAAGTTCAGTATTTTTGTGATTTTCCTTTTTACAAGGGGAATGCCGGAATATATTTATTGTTCGTGAAAACATGCATTGTATTAGCGAGTTTTGATTGACTTTATATATGTATTATATTTATCAAATACTTAGCTGTTGATAGCACTATTTAAATATACGTCCCTATGAATATGTTTGAAATTGAATGTTTTTGGTGCGCATATTTCTGTTTAATAGTCAAAAGTTTGGTTTTGTCAGTAATTTCCATATTACAGTTTCATAATACTACACGCTGTCACAAACAAATCTAACGGAGCAAAGTGATTTATCTGGTTTTAACCAGATTATTGGCATTCGTAACGACAGAAAGATTTTAATATTTGTGAAAGATTTGATACTTGAAGTATGAATTATGTGAAATAAATGACTCGTTAGCGTTCTCTCCCTTGAAGGTATTGACAAGAAAAGCACTTCGGACGCATGAAATTAATAACGTGTTGTTTTAATTTTTTACAGCACTGGGTCGTTACCTCTGCTGGTGGACTATCAGACCCCGAGGGTATCATCAGCTCAGTAGTCAGTACTTCGGTACTGACATGATTAATAACAAACCTTTCTAAAATTGTCCGTTTATAAATTTTTAAATTATATATAAACTAACATTTCAACTTCCTCAGTCAAAGTTGACTTTAGATGGATTTGGCTGTTTTAAGGTACTTTTTGGTTATATAGCCCTTCAATGTTTCGGTTCTTATACATCCTCGGCTTTCAACTATTCGACTTTGAGCGTTCCTGATGAAAGTAAATTTAAGAAAAGCGCATCGGACGCATGAAATTATTAACGTGTTGTTTTCATTTTTTTTTTTTCACCCAATTTACACTAACAGTTATATCATAAATATAATCATTTTGAAAATAAATAGACAGTTTCGGAACTTTAGATAGCCTTTGCATTAATATATAGACTTTCTTTATGTTTTAATGTCTTACATGTCTTAAATGACGTATTGTGTTAAATTTCAGCAATCTGTGATCCTCTCTGTAACGGTGGTGAAACCTGCTATGGTCCTGATACATGTCGCTGTTCAAACAAAACTGAAGGAGGAGTATGTTCTGGTTGTAAGTAAAGACTTATTTGATGTATTATTGTTTACGTATTATTAATTTAATTGTCATTGTTAGTACTTTTGATCAAATTTGTCATGGTTTAGATCCAAATTATTACATATTTGTTTCACCTTAATATTGTTAGTTTGTTGAAAGGCGCTTGTAAAAAAAAACGAAGTTACACAATTGACTAATTGACTAAAAAAAAAGAAGCTTTTTTATGGTAATAGGCAAACCGTACATTAGACATTTTTCTTTTCTTTTCGTGTGTTTCCTAAGATAGAATTTATATAGCCACAGCTTTTTTGAACTGGCATTTGGTAAAATAAATTACAAAAACAGAAAGCGTTGCTTCTGTTTCACCGTATGTCAATGGTGGACTCTGTCGCGGATTGACAGATATATCTTGAAAGACATCACTAGTCAAATGGTTTATCGCGGATTGACAGATATATCGTGAGTGACATCACTAGTCAAATGGTTAAAGACGTCTCTTTAAAGTTGCAAAACATAGCAGCTAGTCAATGTTTTTTTTACATTATGTGCTATCAAATTATACATCTGATGTTTTTATTTTGAACCAGATTATGTCTATGTTGAATAAAAGGAGATGATTGGGTTATACGCTAATGATACAGTAACCCAGCAACAACTAACCAAATCATATCGAGAGGGCAGCATACAGTCTTCAATAATATGTCAATTTCTTAATAGCCCTTAGTCTAGAATAAATCAAACACATACAATCAAAACGGTTTAGGACAAATATCAGACTAAGATGAACAAGTCCTCCTCAAATCCTTATCTCGTGAATATCTAAAAGAAAGTTGCAGTATTTTTGTGACTCGTCGGTGGTACCCGCATGAAAACATTTGGAAGTCTAAAAATAAGAATTAAGTTGAAGAGCAATGAAAACCAAATGTTCCATAAAATTGATCAAACTGAGCTTTAAATAACTTATAATATTCGCCTGAGATGAGTTATCAATATTACTAAACCACTTTTGAAGAAACTGATCTTGAAGAATCTGTTTTATAACAGGTTAAATAGTTAGATAATCAATGTATTGGTTGGAAAACATATAACCTGATCCTGAGTTGTTAAATATAGATTCCACAAATGACACCCTTTTAAATTCACAAATATCATCACTATTTTTTTTTAAGAATAAGCTTATACATAGAATTACTTAGTTTGTTTTCAGTTTTATCCATTCTACTCCAAAACGATAACATTCTCAATTTTACTTTCATTTCTAGTGGGAACCTTTCTTATTCTCCATATATCATAAAGTTTGGAGTACTTGATCTCACATTTAAAATTCTCTTGCAAAAGTGTAGATTATTTTATTCAATTATATCAATGTTTTCAAATCCCTATATTTCTGATAACAATAAAATAGGTTCTACTTGATCCATACAATAAAATAGGTTCTACAAGATAATCAAACAATTTTAGTTGTAAATCAATGGGTAAATGGAAATTTCTAATTTTGTTTATACAACAAAAAGTGCTTTTGCGACTGTTCCACAAGTTTTTCTTTGCACAAACAAATGACCCATTATAATTTAGCAAAAGACGTGTATGATAAAAATTTATAGTTATCTACAATTCCAAGAGATGTACCATTAAGTTTAAAGTCACAATCCATTCTTGCTTTTCTTTTGCTAAAAATTATCACAGTGACTTTAGTTTTACCAATATTCACACTAAGTTTCCACATAGTACAATAATTTTCAAAAACTTTGAGAAAATTTTGCATTCCATCATAAGTATCAACAAAAATTACAGTGTCATCTGCATACAACAAAACAAAAATTTCTAAAAATACATGTAATTCATTACAACATTTCTAAGAGATGATTTCAGCTTCCCAATTGTGAATATTCCATTTCTATGTAGCAAAATTTCAGCAGCGCCTGCATACGGAGTATATATCTCCCAGCTGATACGATATTCCAGGGCTTGTGGTGAAGTTGAAATCATCCTTTCATAAATTTTACGAACGCCATCACGAGTTGGTTGACCGTTATGGAATATCCGTTTCACAGATGACAACGACTATGTTCCAATTGTAGTAACTACAATCCCATCCCCTTTTCCGTGAATGTCTTATCACCGGGTTTGTACTACCATGAGCAAATCGAGAGGTGCCACATGTGGAACAGGATCTGCTTACCCTTTCGGAGCACCTGCGATCACCCCCAGAGTTCGTGTTACTCAGTCTTTAGTTTTCTATGTTATGTTTTTTGTGTGCCGTTGTTTGTCGGTTGTTCTTTTTCTTTTCTTTTTTTGACATGGTTTTGTCAGTTTATTTTTGACTTTTAGAAGTTGAATTAGGTCGATATAGCGTCAATTGTTATCAATTACATTTACGAATGAATATAAACGATTATGTTTTTGTCATATTGTGTAAATGTTTTATATAGTATTGCTTAATTCGTAAGGCTTTTTTTCTTTTATGCAATAACGTTTCGATAATAAGAAAAAGATCAGTCGATCTAGTATTTAGTAAAAGAAAAAAATGTCATGTTTGTTTTTCGTTCGTTGTTTTGTACATAAATCAGGCATTTGGTTTTCTCATTTCAATTGTTTTACATTTAATTGTGTCAAGGCCTTTTATAGCTTGCTATGTGGTATGGGATTGCTCACTGTTGAAAGCTGTACGGTGACCTGTAGTTTACGTCATTTGGTGTCGGGTGGAACTGTGTCTCATTGGAAATCATACTGTATCTACTTATTATATTTTACTATGTTGTTTCTTAGGTCCTTTTTCAATTCTAAATGAAACAATTTTTAAAGACAATATACCACGTATTGATATATTATCCTCATGATTTCTTTATCGATGCTTATTCTATAACGCTAATATCTACGATTTACTGTCAACAATTTATTTTCTCGAGCGATTTATTTTTCGCTAGTAGAAAATCAACGTAAATATGTGAAACTTGGATCTATTCGTATATGAACAAAACAACAACATTAGAAAATGACGACAATATATTGCCGAAATAGGGTAGAATAGGTTAAACACACGAAAAAAGTATCCGCGAAAATAAGTTTTTTTTTTACAGTATTTCAATAGTTGTATAATGTTTGTTTACTTTCATAGTTACTTTTCCTTCATACATGATAAATATCACAGAACTAAACCATGACACTACTTAATCAAACAATGACACTGAATTGTCAGTAATCTCAACAAATTATATACAAAAGAAGCTATTTTTTCGGAAAAAATTTACGGCAATTGTATATTTTAACGAGATATGTGATGGAACAGACAGTAAACAAATCTTTTTTTGTGGTTGGTAAACGAGTAAGCAATTTTCAAATTTTGACATACGCAAGATTTATTCTGAGTCAAATTATTAACTATATGATACAAATTCGAATTTAATAACATATTAGCTATAAACAAAGATATTTACCAGCTTGAATTCATGTTCAGAAATTCTTTTAGCAAAAAAACAGAATGTTTATATAGTTTCAATAAAAACACTTAAACAATCATGTTCAACTGAACCAAACTATAACAAAATCACTGTAATTAACGCTCCTTGATATGACGACGTTACTACCCGTGCTACAGCAAATAAAGCTTAGAGCATTAAATATTACATGAAATCAATCTTAACAAATATTATAATGTATTGTGGAGAAAGAAATAAAGGTGTGAAGAGGTTATCAAAATTGGTGCGTAGAATGTGGAAGTAGTACAAATGGAAAAAAGTCGAATAGAAATATTGGTTAATGACAAGACAAACATTAAGAACACTGAATGCTTCTGTTTATCCATGTCATTGTGCTTTCTGTCAAATAGTAACAACGTACACAGTTTTCTTTCAACGAAGATTTTTCATAAAAAATCTGGGTATCGATGCGTGATTAAGTCAACTAACAACTTTGGTTTACTAAGTGATTCACATCGGATAAGAAAATAAACTATACCACGTAATTCTCCACTTCTCCGCAGGGAACTACATGTACAATCATTTACTTCACTCTGCTTCATTAGATGTCGTTTTAAAGTTTTTTATCAAGAGATTATTCATCCACTAAGTTGACGTATATGAGAAGCAGTGGCGGATCCAGGGTTGGGGTTCCGGGGGTTGGAACCCCCCCCCCTTTTTTTTTGGACGATCAATGCATTTGAATGGGGACATATGGTTGGAACTCCCCCTTTATCGTGGGTTGGGAACCCCCCCCCCCCCCCCTTTTGAAAATGGCTGGATCCACCCCTGAGAAGAAACAACAAAGTAGGCAACATCCCAAATGATCAATTTAAAAAAAAAAAAAAGGGACAAACATCACCAAATGACAATAAGACAAATTGATTGAATGCTTTATTGGTGTTTTACGCCACTTTCAGCACTAGTGGCTATTTCGTGGCAGTCAGTTTTTATTAATGAAGGAGGAAGCCGGAGTGCCCGTATAGAACCACCGACGACCTTCGGAAGGAAAACTGACAATCCTAATAAATTAAGATTGGAGTCGAACGCACCTGTCACTTGCGGGATTCGAATTCACAACTTCAATGTTGACAGGCTAGTGATACAGTAGTTGGATTACTTAGACCACTCGGCCCCAAGGCCCTACAAAAAGACAAACACCGACATCATATTACTTATACATGCATATTGATATTTTGGTGAAAGAAGTTAATCCACTCGATCTACGTTGTTTTATTCCTTTCACATCCATATAAATAAATGACATGTGTATATATAGAGTACGACAATGAGACAACAAACCAACTACAAAGATAACCGAAAAACATTTAGGGGGCAATATACAGTCTCGAACAATAGACAGAATAAAGAAGTACAGTCAAGTGTAGAAAAGTATTTAGACTCTTCAAGATTTAAAATCTTATATTTTTTGACAACTCTTTGAGTTTTAGGTTCAACAAACCATTTGAATTCGAAAAATGCCTGTATCAAATCAGGAATTTTGACGCTATTGCGGCACGTCCGATTTGAGGAAAAAGAGAGGCAAAAGATACAAAAGGGACATTTAAAACTCATAAGTCGAAAATAAACTGACAACGTCATGACTAAAAAAGAAAAAAACCAACCGACAAACAACAGTACACAAAACAAAACATAGAAAAAACTAAAGACCGAGCAACACGAACCCCACCAAAAACTGGGAGTGTTCTCAGGAGGAACGGAAGTCGATAAGGGACCAGACGTTGATCTTAGTCTTACATATCTATGGAATACAAATTTATGTTTGAAAAAGAAGGTGTTGATTAAATGCTTTTTTTTTACAGATGCGTGTTTTCCACCTTGTCAACATGGCGGGGAATGTTATGGATCAAATAAATGTTCTTGTAGACCAGGTTATGCAGGTGATTTTTGTGAAGTTAATCGTAAGTACGTTAGTAAAGTTATAAACAATGCAGTTTTCAGTTTAATGATACCGTTGATTAGCATACTTTGTATTTTAAAGAAATATATGAGTTTAAATAATCTCTGTCTAAGCTCAGCTAAAAGAGATTTAGTATAAATGTGATTATGACTTGTGTTTTAAAAATACTGATTGAAACGGAACAATAACTAGAGGTAAAATAACACAACAGAATCATTGCTGTAGCCATAGAATGTTCATATCATTACAGAAATTGCCATCCAAGCAATACGCGATAAAAACTGTTATTTTTTCAGCATCTGATATTATATTTGTGGTAGACGAATCAGCTAGTGTTGGAGATGATAATTTCCGTGTAACCATGGAGTATCTTGCCAATGCTGTTAATAGACTTCCTGTCAGATAAGACTTACTACGTATTGGATTGGCTTTATTCTCGGGATCCACTAGATATATCTTTAACCTTGATGATGGTTCCACAAAAGATATCATAACAGACGCTATATTGAAAACATATTATGGAGAAGGCCGTCAAACAGATATTGATGGTGCTCTTGGTGATGCCTGTAAAGATATGTTTCAACGTAAGAATGGAAATCGACCTCAAACTGCAGCCCAGCATATTTTAGTGTTGATGACCGATGGTCAATCATCTAAATCAGATAAAACGGGACTGTCAAAATGTACAAGCAAAAACGTAACAATAATTGGAATAGGAATTGGTAGCAACATTGATGAAGATCAACTCAGATCTTTGGTCTCCAAACCGGAATATTACTTTGATACAACCTACGATAACCTGGATACAACTTTGCCAAAACTTTTAAAAATTATAACAGGTAAGTTATAGCCTACAAACATTTGTTTTTTTCTTTATTGCTGACAACGTCTAGTAAATTTAAACGAAAGTTAAAAGATTGTGAAGTATAAACGCTGTCGATCCTGCACAAAACTGCTAGCAGAAAATGTATGCATGATGCATCATGGAATATGGCATTACACATTGTTCTGTAACTTTTCACATAAACCTGCATCATACATGTACATACAGGTGGATAGTTTCAATATACATTTCTTCCAAAGGAAAGGTTGGGGAGTTCTGATAGGTGGTTCAAAGCTTCATACAGCTAAGGCGAACACATTTTGACCCTGCTTCCTAGTTATGTGCCGACTTGCATTTTCTTGTTCAAGTACGCTGTCATTCTGTTGGTAGCTAAACTGTGCAGGTCTTTAATTGTGTGTTCTTTTGACATATGGTCTAGATAGGCAAAGGGGAAGGTTAGGTTGTATACCCGTTGAACTGGTTTACTAAATTAGTACTATAATTCCAGTATTTTGATGAGTGTTTTTTTTAACCAAACACATTGTTTGCCTGTACTCAGTTTGGCTGTCTGGACAATGTGTTGCTCGTTAATGTTTCTTTTTGATTGAAAGTCTTTTTTTTTAGTTTGTGATTTGTGTGGTCTGTTGCACTGTCCAATATTTGACGTCATCTGGATCACAGGGTCAATTTGAGCTATTATCATCGTTTTATGTCCTTTTTCAGCGTCCGTCGTCTGTTCACTTTTACAAAAAATCTTCTCCTTTTTAACTACCCAGTCAATTGCAACAAAACTTAGCCACAATCATCCTCAGAGTATCTACTTTACAAACTATGTCCGACAAATCCGTCGGTTAAGCAACATGACCGCCATTACTAAAAATAGAACATAGGGATGAAATGCATGTATTGTCATCAATCTTGGAATCCATTGTAGATTGAGGAAAAAGATTGCCGGGACAAACATGTTTCAAATGTCGAGATTAAACTACTAAAACTGAGAAAGGAAATGGGGAATGTGTCAAAGTGACAACAACCCGACCATACAGCAGACAACAGCCGAAGGCCACCAATGGGTCTTCAATGCAGCGAGAAACTCCCGCACCCGGAGGCGTCCTTCAGCTGGCCCCTAAACAAATATGTATACTAGTTCAGTGATAATGGACGTCATACTAAACTCCAAATTATACTAAACTAAAATTAAAAATGATACAGGACTAACAAAGGCCAGAGGCTCCTGACTTTGGACAGGCTCAAAAATGCGGCGGGGTTAAACATGTTTTTTGAGATCTCAACCCTCCCCCTATACCTCTAGCTCTACTGTCTATTCTGACCAAAACTGTCATCAGATTCCTTTTATGAGTTATTGCCCTTAAGTGCGGGTTTTTGGGCTATTACCCTACAAACTATAATAGAAACTATAAACAGCAAATTTAATCAGCAAGATAAGATCTTCAAATATATCAACACAGAAAAAATCGTAAGCCTTAGCTGTATAAGAGCAATCGCTGCGTCTTGATGACTCAACGATTTTCTTAAGAGTTTTTTTGTTTGTTTCTTTTGTGAGAATTATTGTAGATAAAGAAAACATATAACAGTAAAAGTGATAAAAAAAATCCGCTTAACTAGAAAGTCTACATTACGGAAATAGTAAGACAAATCCTTAAGCGAGTTATTGCCTTTAACTGATGATTATAACATATTTTGGTCTTTTGTTAAAAATTGTTACAGATATGGAGAAACTGTTAATTTTTACTGTCATACATTTTCTCTATCTACAATAATTTTCACAAAAGAAACAAAAAAAACGTTATAGGAGTTATTACTATTGAAAGACACATTTACACATTATAGAAACTAATAATAGATAGAGAGAAACGGTTGCTAAATGATCAGCATGACAAGATCTTCAATGCAAGTCATTGGTCAACTCCTTAAAGGATTTTATTGTCCTTCAATGACATTGTTTAGACATGTTTTAGTGGGATATATATGATAGAGAGAAACTGCGTACAGCAAAATTGATTGAAGCAATATGACATCTAGAAATAAGTTGAAATGGGAAAATAGTCAGTTGACTATAATACGATTTATTACCCTAAGATAATTTTTTTATACCAATTCTAGTGTTTTACTTAAGGGCATACGATATAGTTACAGGGGAGGTAATGACGTTCCTAACGCAAAAATGTTATTTTTCGCGACGTCAAACTGCGACATATCGGGAAAATATGAATTGTTCGAGTGATTTTAATCCATAGTTTGAAAACGAGTACATGAACCCCCTCTTTTTTTAAATAACATTTGATTTGATACTGTATGGAGATTATTTGTTCCAATTTTAGTGAAAAAATCTCCGATGAATTTTTTTTAAATTAGATAAATATACAGCATAAAATGTGGTTTTTTTTTTTCTAAAATCTTGAAAATTTAATAAAAATGAATAATTTCCAAATAATTGTTACACAACTTAAGAGGATACTTTTGTAACATTCCAAATCGTTTTACAAAAATCCGCATGTGTTTATCTTTTGAAACAAAAAAGTTAAGTATGCCTATCCGAGGGTTGGAAATGTCCAAGAAACCGAATTTTCAGGCAAATGTCTAAATTTCTACCCCATTAATCTCTAAATTTAGCATATGATGGTATATTTTTTTATGAAACTGAGAATGGAAACGGGGAATGTGTCAAAGAAACAACAACCCGACCAAAGAGCAGAAAACAACTCAAGGCCACCAATGGGTCTTCAAAACAGCGAGAAAATCCCGCACCCGGAGGCGGGCTTCAGCTGGCCCCTAAACAAAAATGTGTACTAGTTCAGATAAAATGGACGTCACACTAAACTCCAAAACATGTAGATGAACCAAAATAAAAAAAAAAAACATACAAAACTAACCAAGGCCAGAGGTTCCTGACTTGGGACAGGCGCAAAAATGCGGCGGGGTTAAACATGTTTAGTGAGATCTCAACCCTCCTCCTATACATCTAGCCAATGTAGATTAACATATTTGAATTGACCAGGTGAAAAATAGCTTGTATGCAAATTTTCGTTAAAAAAAATCACCTTGGGATCGAAACTGTATCGTATGCCCTTAATATTCTGAAACTAAAAAAAAAAAAACCTTTAAATGTCAAAATTGAGCAGATGAAAGGACTACAAATAGGTCAAATAATTGAAATCGCCCCCTTATTTACATGTTTTACCGTTTTTATTTCACTGTTGTCTATTATCTTGAAAACTATAATAGATCAACAAAACCTGTGTCCAGCAAAATGTATCAGCAAGACAAAATTTTGCTTTATATAGTTTCCATTCATTCAAATTTTGTTGATGCATTTTATTAATTTTAAGCAAAAATGTCCAATTTGCCTGCGTTGGGAAAGCAGATAGTTGTATCTCAACAGAGAAATCTTAACATTAACTGTGTGGTGTGAATGGTTGTAGTAATTGAAAGCACGTTTAATATAATTATTCCCTGGATAATTTCCTGTTCGAAATATTGATAACTTTGATTTAAAATTAAAAAAAAAGATTTAATAACCAAAGTGTTAGCCAAATAACATCCAAAATCTAAAATGTATATTGCTGTCAACTCGCTGAAAAATCTTTATCTATTAAATTCAAATTATACCGCGAGATACATATCAAATATATAGAAGTTCTTAAGTTAATGTTTATTATCTTATTGAAAGTATTTTTAAAGCCTGTTCTTTTTAAAAATGTTTTAGTGACATGTAGTCCAGGATGCATGAACAACGGAATATGTTATCAAACGAACAAATGCAGATGTCTCGGAGGTTATGAAGGAGATATTTGTACGATTCGTAAGTATATAATACATGTTTGTTCGAAAATTAAAACAATTAGTTCTGATTGTACATATTCATTTCCTTCCTTGAATATTTGGTAAAATCTGCTGAAGGAAAACAATAGTTCAAAGCTGAAAAGTTAGCCATAATGAATTTAAATCTGTGTTATTACTTTTTTCTGTCCGATTCGTCTCCTATTTGGTCCTTATTCAACTCCCAATTGCATAGCTGACGATGTTTGTAATGTCTGAGATCTTATTTGTGAACAAAATTTAGAAATTCCTGCCACTTCGATTGATCGATAAAGGATTTATATTTTCCGACCTATGTATTTTCAAGATAGTTTTAGTTACTTGGTTGATTAAGGTTATAAATCATGCATATCTCACGAAGTATATACGAGAAACTCATCTGCATATTAAATTTAATGTCGTTCTATATATATTTTTTTCTTACTTTTTACTGTTATTTTAACTTAATTAAATTTAACCTTTTAATAATAGCTGGATGATAAATTAATTCGTTTATATCCGATGTCGTTAAAATTTTCACAGAATTGTTAATATCTAACTGCATTGTGCACCTCATATTTTATCCTTTAATATAAATGTTTTTTTTTTTCATTTTCCCATACCAGTCTATGCTTTGACTTCCTATTAAGGATTCAGACAAATAGCAAAAAAAAAAGAAATAAGTTGGTAAATACAAGTGACGTAAGCCTTCCCATGAAATTCTAAAAGTATCTAAGGAGTAGCGCATTTAATGCTGTTTTCATTTTGAAAGTTTCTGTAAGATTATATCTATCTAATTGTAGCTATCTGTGATCCAGAATGTAAGAACAATGGAACTTGTTCTGAACCTGACACATGTTTATGTACAAATGAATACGAAGGAGACTTGTGTGAAGTGAGTCGTAAGTATTAACAAAACGTGAATTTTTTAGCTATAAATCTAAAAACGGTGTAGTGTTTAGCCATTTTAGGGAGAACGTAATTTTCTCAAGTAATGTAATATTTCCAAATTTTGACAACTGTTTAGCCAAAATGTTTTTAAAATGGTCTTGAATAAATGAAGATGAAGTCATTAGTGTCACAACTGTTGAGCAAGAATTATTTGTCATGTTTTCTCTGTCAAATTTACAATTGTTGTCAATATAATGGAATTCTATGCGACTGTCATACAAGTGAGGGGTTTAGCTAGCTATTAAACCAGGTTTAATTCACCATTTTCTACATCAGGAAATGCCTGTACCAAGTCAGGTATATGACAGTTGTTTTCCATTCGTTTAATGTGTTTGAGCTTTTGATTTTGCCATTTTATAAAGGACTTTCCATTTTGAATTTCTCTTGGAGTTCGGTATTTTTGTTATTTTACTTTTTACAAATGATCATTCAACAATTAGAACATAACTGACTTTTTATAATGTATTCAAACGTATATGTATATACTGGTAATGTCACGTTACGTTGTTCGATGATATAAACACTGTGTTAGTTCAAACGGTCTGAGTTGTGTCTCTCTGAAATGTTGCCAGCTTTAACATAAAATTTGCCACAAGTTCACCTAAATTCTAATCTATGTTACGATCAATCTTATCAATTATTTCCGCTTTAAGGTAAGCAGTATATGCGAAGTGTGGGTCAATTCAATCAAATTGTATTACGACATCTTTAATTTTGGTCTTATGACAAGTTTCATTGCATACACATATAATAATGGCGAAAATAACATGTTAAAACAGTAATCAAGCAGGGTTAGATAAGATTTAACGTTTTTATTTCAGAGTCATAAAACCCGTGAAGTACCTTTGTCCCCCTATTAATTTAGAAAATGATGCAAAAATGACTGTATTGCAAGAATTCCACATCCAAAGTATCATTTTGAATGTATGTAACGTTTATACAATCTGTCAACCTCTTTAGTTTTCGTGATAAAAGTTTTCCTGACAGGAATAATTTCTATGATTTTTTTGTTTTGTTAATAAATGTTGAATAACAACGGCCAGTCAGTACAGATACCAATTCACAGTCTTAAACATGGCATATACATGTTTTCCATCTATCAAGCTACCGAAATCTTACCGTCTAATGAAAATTTTAAATATCTCTTGTATGCATCACTTTTCCAATCCCCGTATAATTAAATTAATTCAGTAAGTACTTCAGATGCAAAATCCCAACTAGCCATCCCCCCCCTTTCCCCCCAACCACACTCCGACTAAAACTGTGTGTAGAATAAGAAGAAGCATATAAACCAATCTTAGTAATTAACTGTTTAAATATTACCTGAAATTGTCTATAAGTAACAGGAACACATCATTTATTCTTGAAAAAAAAACAATAAACTAGACTTTTATCTGAAGTACTAACTGATGACTTCATACTCAAAAATGCGTGAACGATGGAGAATCTGATACAGAGACTAGAGGTATCAATAATTCTCTCTCGGAAAACTGAATGTTTTTTGATCACTTAATACTAATCAATAATACATTACGCTCAAAATCGAAAAGGATATTATTTCTGCCAAGTTTCTTATTATGATCAAACGTAGAAACAGATTCTGGAACCAGATTAGATTTTCTGAACAGACAAAAAAAAGGCATGCAAAAATAAACACCATATAGTAGCATCATGCTAACTATTCATATCAAGCTTATTATAAATTTCAAGCAAAATCTGAAGAGTAATCGACAAGGCTTGTTTTAGACAATGTGCCTTAATTCTGCATAAACCTCTTAATACTAATTTCAAATGAAAAGCTTCATATTGTGGATATTCTAAATCTAAAAGTAAATGCAAAAATTTGACTGAACTTATATAATTCTTGATAGAATCAACAGATTAAAAACTTCTACTAAGAAACTGAGCATATAATGTCAAAACCTGAACTGAGCTGGAACAGAATTAAATTCAAAATATATACAAAACATAAAATATGTCTCTAACTGAGTTTAATTATTTTTATGAGTACTTTCCACAAAAGCATGTTTAGCAGAATCTTTACATTGAAACCGCAGAACTTCTAACTCTGTAAAATAAATAACCAATTATTCAAAAATTAAAAAAAATTACTTGAGAACTGGTACCTCTTCATATCTATATACTTCAATGGATGATTCAAATAAATCTCTGTATTTATGATTAAAGTGCCATCAAGACAAATAGGCAGCAAGTCTATTTTCTTCACCTAAAATGTGTCTGACTCGAATTTCAAACTGAAAACTTGCTTGTACAAAACAAAGCTTACTCAAACAAGTCAGCATAAAGGTATCCTTAGATGAACCTGAATTATTAAACTGAACAGATGCCTCATTATCACAAAAGAACAGAATTTTTTTCCCGTGATTTTTTTTTTACCAAAAATTTTAACTGCAACTACAATAGCAAAGGTTTCCAAACAATTAATATGCAATTGATCTATTGTAATATCAGGAGGAAATATTGCATGAAAATACTGATTTGAAGTAATTGCTCCAAATCCTTTTAAACAAGCATCACTTGAAAAAAATCTCATCTGGAGAAGATCAATCAAGACAAAATAAAAATACTATTGGATGTAAATGTAGACACATTGAGTCATAAAATTGATAAGGTTAGTGTGTTTGCTCAGGATAAACTGAATGATACTGAGTTTAAAAATTCAATTGATATACGTAGTCAGATTGTTAAATCAGGATATCCAAATTATTTGGGTTGTAGAATTCCAGTAAAATCTGGAATAAATGTAGAATTTTTCAAGGAACATTTGTTAGATTATGACGATAAAATCATTTGAGAGTTTTTAAAGGCAGTGCTTTAGTGCCTTTAATGGAATCAGGCAATAACCATTTCGTTTCTACGTGGGGTAAATACGTCATCATAAAAATCCCGAAAAGTGGAATTCCTTCTTCTTCTATTTGTGATATTCTGTGTTTTTTGTTGAAATTTATTGACATTGAGGGTTATAGAATCGAACAGTGTTTTTTGTTAGTTATCGAAACATTCGATATAGTTGCATGTTGCATTCTGAGCAGTCCACCGATTGACATACCGGAATTCCTTATAAATCCGTGTGGAAGAGTTCGGGTTTATTTCAAGTGGTATTTTAAACTTAAGTTGTTTTTAAGCTCGTTTCAGTCGTTGAAATAATAATGAAAAGTCGACTGAACTATGCCTAGTCGCCACATATCAATAATAACTCAGCTTTCCGTCATTAATCCTATTATTTTTATTTTTCTCATTAGAACAGTTGGTACATCGAATTGCCGAAATCGGCCTAAACTATCACTAGCCACCTAGAATTTATCGAAAACCAGAGCTGTTGAAAATCGTCAGACCGTCCGACATAGCTATCATTTCAGACCCTTTGTCAGGTAAACAATTCCGATCTATTAGGTCCCATAAAAGTTTTTTTTAAATCCGAAACGAACACTGCAAAAGTTGAATACCTAGAATTAGTGAAAAATTCGATACACTCGGGTGTTTACCTCTATAAATTGAAGATGTAAATACCCGAGTGTATCGAACTTATCTTGTTTAACTGACATTACACAACTTGTGTTGATCTAACCCCGGCCCAATGCTAACTAACAAGTGATAGAATATTAATTACACGATATGGCTTCTGCTTAGGGCACACGCCAAGGATGATTAAAGGTAAATACCGGCGTTAACAGAAAAGTGGAATATTGTTGTCAAAACAACGATCGGATTTGATGCCGAAAAACATTTAATAAACTTTCAACTCAGCAAAGAAATTCTCACTATTTAACACTCTAATGCGGACATAAGAGGACCTTCAGCATGCTCAAGAAATTCCGAACTGACAGCAGGTCAACAATGACTCAAATACAATTCACGGCCTCCTCAGTGTTTAGAATATAACAACTACACAAACTGTTACAAGGATCAGGATTACTTTAGTACAGTGTCAAGTGTATAAAAGACAGCCAAGTTGTCTTGTACTTTTTACATGACCCAGTATTTCAAGACCAGTGTTTTAGTTTTAAAGATAACATTTGTCAATGTAATATAGAGTAAGACAATGCTTTTTGCTAATATATTCATGACAAAAACAAAACCAGAAACAGAATCTTCTCAATAAATCTTTCAACTGATATCTTTCAAGTAGACAGGCCAAAGCCTAGGGTACTGTAAACACATTGATATATACATGTAACATTCAGATGGAAGGTTGAAGAAAAAATCCACCAGACGGTTACATTTACGACCACAAAAATCGATAAAAGACCAACTATTCTGAGGTCTAAACTCCTGACCCAAAATTTCCAAACTCCAGATCTGAATTTTACAGTCCAGCACGTGTATGGTTGTGAAACACGTTGTTTAGACAGAAGCAGAGCCAGTGAAAGAAAATATAATTGACGCTGTCATATCGATCCGGCCCCAATTAAACAAAATATTTACAAGGGATAAAAAGTATATATATTTGACTTTTAAAAATATTTATTAATTTTATGAATAAGATAGCAAAAGTGGACGATAAAAAAAAATAAATGAGATATTTATTCGAATATTTTTTTTTTTAATATTTCAAATATTTGTATTCAAATCAATTTACAGGGGCGGATTTAAGGGGGCTATGGAGCTTCATACATGATAAATGCACCCTCCTCCCTTTTTTCAAAATCCTGGATCCACACCCGATTTATCACCCTATATACATGTATATATGATTTAATAACTCTCGTACAGATATGTGTAATATATGACAATTATATAATTATAAGATGAAAACATTCATGAATAATTTATGTTTTTTACCACTTCCCAACTCTAGAATCGTTTAAAAGACAGACACATCACAAACCACAGCAGCAGGCTTGTATGCCAAACTGGGTCAAGTCTTAAATATGTGAAGTATATAAATATGCACGTTATTTTAGGGCAGTAAAAAGTAAAATATCAAAAATACCGAACTCCAAGGAAAAATCAAACCGGAAAGTCCCTTATCAAATGGCAAAATCAAAAGCTCAAACACATCAAACGAATGGATAACAACTGTCATATTCCTGACATGGTACAGGCATTTCCTTATGTTGAAAACGGTGGATTAAAGCTGGTTTTATAGCTAAGTTACCTATACCATTCATTTACTCTATTCTCTTCCTTTAGAATCGCCGACATGCCAGATAATCATGAATGTTCATCTTACACAAACACAGGCTTGTATACCCATCTCTGTCATGAAGTTATATTTTCTGTCTTGACTCTCTTGCCATCCAGACATAATTGGGAGCGCACTAACCTTGATCTTTCAAAGTAACATATTTCTGAATATATGATCAATCCTTGTATATAATTCAACTGAAATTGTGTAATTTTATTTAATCCACTAAATTTACATCACTGTAATTTGGCTTGAACATTTAATTTGGTATTTATGTATTCCTAAGTACCCGGTACATGGTAAAATCCATAGTAATACACCCACTAGTACAAATATAGGATTTTTCGTAACCCAACCGTACTTTGAATCACTATCTGAAACAAGTTTACGTCCTTCTAAAGTTACCAGACTTACATACATGTAAGAAAAATATGATAGTATCAGGTTTTCTCAGAGTTAAACATAGACAATCACAAACAATAATTGATGACCTGGCATGGTCATTTCTTGGAGTCATACTTTGAATTATTTACTTTTTAGCTCAGAGTAATTTTTTAAGAATAACGATTACTCTTGGAAAGAGTGGACACTTAGAGATGCATCATATGTATATCAATGTTTTTGAGATAAATTCACAACAAGCCATCATGATGAACTGGAATGTTTTTTTGTATGCGATACATAGGTATTACTATCCAGCGGCGGCGGTTATGTAAACTTTTTGTATAAAGCTTTATATCTCAGAAGGTAGAAGACTTGGATGCTTCATATCTTGTATGCAGATACCTTTTGTTACGAAGTTTCCGTCTGTCATATGTCCATTGTCCTTGACCTCATTTTCATGGTTTAGCGACTGCTTGAAAAAAAGAGTTTTTATGTCATGTGAATTTCTCACTTATTATGAGTAATATGATAACTATAGATGGTATATGGGTTCCTTGCAACGTCTACATGTCCGTCAGACAGGATTCATCTGACCTCAACCTCATTTCATAGATAAGTGATCAAGGTTGAAAATACGTGATTAGGTCCATTTCTCAAATACTATAAGCAGTAGGTCAACTATATGTGGCGTATGGAATGATTGTAATAGGTACATGTCAGTCTGGCAGGTTTATGTTCATTGGTCAATGTTAAGTTTTTGTGATTTGGTCTGTTTTTCAAGTACTATAAGCAATAGGACAACTATATTTGGTGTATGGAATGATTGTAAGGTGTACATATAAAAATAAGGAGGTGAGGTATGATTGCCAATGAGACAACTATCCAAGTTCAAATTAAGTGGATGTAAGCAATTATAGGCAACCGTACGGCCTTCGACAATGAGAAAAACCCATACTGTATACTCGGCTATAAAAGGCCCCGACATGAAAAATATGAAACAATTCAATTGAGACAACTAACGGTCTAATTTAAAACAAAACAATTAACGAAAAACAAATATGACAGACATGAACTAACGACAACCACTGAACTGCAGGTTCCTGACTTGGGACAGGCACATATAGAATGTGGCGGGGTTAAACATGTTTGTGAGCGCTCAACCCTCCCCCTAACCTGGAACAGTGGTGTAACAGCACAGCATAAGAACAAACTATAAAAATCATGTGAAAAAGGCTTAACTTATCAGATCGATACAAAGCAGAAAAACATCAAACATAAACACAGACCGGACGTGGCAGGACAGCTGAGAGTACAGCTAGTTCAGTCTGTCTGGCAGGTATCATCTAGCCTTGACTTCATAAACATGGTTTATTGATCAAAGTTTTTGTGTTTTGGTCTGTTTGTCAAGTACTGTAAGCAATAGGTCAACTATATTTTGTGTATGGAATGATTGTAAGGTGTACATGTCTGTCTGGCAGGTATCATCTGACCTTGACCTCATATTTATCGTTCAATGGTCATTGTTAAGTTTTTGTGTTTTGGTCTGTTTTTCAAATACTAATAGGAATAGGTCAGCTATATTTGGTGTACGGAATGATTTTAAGGTCCACATGTCTGTCTGGTATTTATAACCTGACCTTGACCTCATTTTAATAGTTCTATTGGTCAGTGATAAGTTTTCGTGTTTTGGTCTGTTTTTCAATTACCATAAGCAATTGGTCAAATATATTTGGTGTATGAAAAAATTGTAAGGTGTATATGTCTGTCTGACAGGATTTATCTGACCTTGACCTCATTGCCATAGATTGAAATGTTAAGTTTCTGTGATGGTTTTAGTAAAACCTTTATCTGTAAGACTTTCAACATAAAATCAATGATTAGTAAAGCAGGCGAGACATTTCAGCGTGTACACTCTTGTTATAAATATTAAGAAAAAAAAAAGAAATGAGACAACAACCTAACAAATAAGGCATCCACAAATGAACATCTTACTTTGATTTACTATTGTAGGTTAATGTTCACAAATTATAATTACTGTGTAATTTAGGAGATGTGAAAACATTATTTTTTTAAAGCAGTTAAATGTTTGCAAAAAATGTTTAAAATGTTAAACTAAAAATGAATTTAAATAGAGACATATCGACATCTGTGTTATATGCTCCATATTTATAAGAAATTCATATGTTCACTAAAATTTCTTCGTCAGTTATTTATATTATTAACATCTTGGTTAAACAAACACTATCATGATAATTACAAATCATCCTATTGGTTAATCTTTCATTCTCTGACAGTCTTGACATTTGCAGTAAAAGTGATATAGACTTGTCTTCTGTGTGCATTTACCTGGAGGAAAAATCATGTCCCGCTAAAAGCTATAGATATAAATAAGTCCCTGCCTATCAACCACGTGCTATCAACAGTGGAAGGCCTATATAAATCAGCTTGTCTGTCTGTCTGTTCATTCCTCTGTCTGTGCTTCTGTCTCAACTCCTCCGAGTCCGTTTGACAGAAAATTTTCATAGGAAAAAGGATTGTTTGCAATTGTGTAGTTGACAATATTAAACTGCTATTTTGGTTCAACCATTTTTATAGGAGTTATGGAACTATGATATTTTGTTTACTATCGTACCACAATAGCACAGCTTATCCCAACAGAAGGAACAAGGAAATCACTTCTATTTCGCAATGATCTACCCTTTTTGGACTGATGCGGTGTAAAGCAAACATCAATCAATAAATATTATTTCGATGTTAAACTTTGTTACACGTTTCTATACAAAGTGGAATATAAATAGTATTAGATAAGAAAATATATTCATTTATCTTGAACACAATGGAAAGTTTTCCCTACTGAGTTTGCAGATTACAGTTCAGACAGTATTCCATGTTGTAATAATTTAAATGATAAACTTCTTATTATTTGTTTTAGTTCTACCTGAAATATCATGTAACAACATCACTGCTATGAAAGGTAACGAATATGTAGAGCTCACTTGTACGGTCAAAGTATTTGGAATAGTTTGTGGATTAATCTTCTGGGAGAATGGTAATACAGGAGCTAAGTATCCTGTCAATTATAAGCAGGACGGCCTCAGAGTATTTTGTTCGGTATGTTTTTACACACACACATAAAAAAAACAATGAAGATATGTTCACTAGAAAATACTCATTTTCTAATAACTGCTTAGTACTAGTCTAAACAGTTAACTCTCGTCTCGAATTTGGTTGACTCGAAATTTCCGATGAGTCAAATTTTCCCATGGTCATAAAATTTCTTCCCTACAAATATATGTATTTCGACTCCAGATGAATTGTGTCGAACCAAATTTACGGTACCAAGGTTAATAATATCATTTAGATTAATTTCCTGGTGTCCAACCAATACGAATATGTCAAGACATGACATTGGTGATTTTAATGGATTAACAAGTTTATCTGACAATACACCTGTAAATAAATTCCCGGTCATTGACCACTTTATTCATTTATGACTTTCTTTTCCCACGAGCGTTTACCTAAGGTTTTCTTTGTTCACCGTTAATAAATAATTAGCGATACATTGTTTTTGATTATGAAAAAATATTTAAAATGTTTTACACTAGTAATCAATTAACCGTAATCATACATTAAAGAGCTTGTGTCTGCATTAAATGAGCAACGCATGTTTTTTTTTTTGTCCTATGTAAAAATTATTTTCTCAGATCTTGACTCCTGGAACTGGTCATTGGATAGTTAGTAGTTTAAACTTATCATGTTATGCAAATTTTACTAATTTGACTTTAGCTGCTGTTTTTAATGGAAAAAATAATCATCAATACTGCATTTTGAACAATCTTGTTTTCATTTTAAATTTAAAGACGTAAACAAATTTACCATATTTTTTTCGAAAGTTTCTTGTATAGCACTACAAAATTTAATATTATGAAAATGTTACATAACATTTTTCTGGCATATCATGAGAAATAAGATGACAGCCTGGAGACAATAAAGTATTAACAGAGAACATCTCAGCAGCAGGCAAAAACTTCATAAAGCTTTCATTTGAAATATTCACTGCTAACATTTCACAATTTGTTTTTCAGAATAAAGGTCAGGGTTCTGTTTCAACTACTTTAAGGATCGACGCAGTTACAGATGAATCCTTTAAAGCAGATTATTTTGTTGTCTATGTTAACAAACATCAGACTACAACACGCAAACAAGCAATTTTAAATCAAGGTAAGGCTATAGGTGCTGTATCATTTCATTTTGCGTGGCTCGGTACTTATACATCCTGCCATTGTGTTATTGTGCTCTGGTCATTGTTTGTATTCTTGTCTTTCATTTTTGCTTATGTGCTTTGTCTATATGCCATTTTGTTTTTCTTTGTTGACATATTTGTTTGTTTTAATAGTGATTACTATTATAACACAATATTGACTACTGTACCCAAATTTTTACATTTTTACCTGTCGTGTCTGTTTGTTTTGTTCACACATTGTTGTCAATATAATGGACTTTTATGCGACTGTCATACAAGTGAGAGGTTTAGAAAAAGTGAGGCGAGGGATACCAAAGGGACATTCAAACTCATAAGTCGAAAGTAAACTGACAACGCCATTGCTAAAAAAGAAAAACACAAACACACAAACAACAGTACACAAAACACAACATAGAAAACCAAAGACTGAGCAACACGAACCCCACCAAAACCTGGGGGTGATCTCAGATGCTCCAGAAGGGTGAGCTAGGGTTAGCTAGCTATAAAACCAGATTAAATCCTTAATTTTCTACATAAGGAAATACCTGTACCAAGTCAGGTATATGACAGTTGTTTTCCATTCGTTTGATGTGTTTGAGTTTTTGATTTTGCCATTTGATAAGGAGATTCTGTTTTTAATTTTCCTTGGAGTTTGGAATTTTTTTTATTTTACTATTTAAAAGAGCTCATCTTTCAAAGGTGTGTCTAACGGGTGCCATCCTTTGCTCATCAACCGACTCGACCCCCTTTGCTTAAAGTTGATTTCACTTTAGCTCATGAACTCCTTCCACCCCATCCATTCACACAATGTTAATAATATGTTAATTTTGAGCATAATATTAAAGTGTTTACATTTATTAGAGGAGTTACTGCAGTAAAACATTTTATGGAAAATCACTTTTTGTTAGATTAAGTTACTTAATTCATGCTTGTATTATCCGCGGTTTTTTATTCCAAAAATAAAATTGCCAGACAGGGGTGCAGATTATCTAGTTCTATAAGCAAGAAATAAGAGAAAAACATGATTTTTGCAATTTTTGTTTACGTTCCGCCATGTTTGTTATTGAAATAGTAGACGGCCTCCTAGTTTTTTTTCAAAACTAAAATTCACATAATCCATATTAAGGATGTAGTCATGTCAGATTTAGGGAAACTGAAAGATAGATTTAGGGAAACTGAAAGATAGATTTAGGGAAACTGAAAGATAGGTTTAGGGAAACTGACAGATACTTGTAGTTGACAATATTAAAAAAACATAGACGTTAGCAGGGAACCAGCTTATGCATAAGGATGTATTAAAATGTAATCGGTTATTCGCACTCTCTCACCATATTTATTTGCAATTCAAACGTGCTATTTCCATTTCCGGTAAATGTAAAACACAACTTCTAAAATTGTTTATTTTGGATTTTGACACTTTTTAACACTTGACGTGTTCTAGAATCATTTAAAAGCATTTTCAAAAACTACTTGATGATGGAAAAGATGGAAAACAGGGTTTACCATGAAAATACTGCAAACAATCACATACAATTTGAAATTACATGAGTTTTCACTAGATGTATTTAACAAGTGACAAAAAATTTTTTTCTGAATTGTCCTGGCGAAAAGGAGGATGCCGACTTTTCAAGGCCGATAATGGTAATATCAAATAACTGATCTTTGTTGCTTCCATTTGAAGCCTGAAGCTGTATCTAATCACTTGTTTTGTCTCCCCTGGCAAAGAATGTGTAGCAAAGTGATGCTAATTCAGCCGTGACAGTCCATTGTCATTCACCTCATTTTCATGGCATAGTGACAGTTAAACAAAAAACTGTGTACTTTTTAATCAAATGAAACTTGAAATGTTGCCCTTGCTCTGTACAGGTCTGGTTACCCAAGTAGGCACCCCACTAAGGTTTTTACTGGTAAGACCTAGAAGCATTGGGAAATAGGACCAGCTAAAGTGCACGTCGACTTACGGGATTAGTAAGTTTTGCCCTGTATAGAGCACCTGAAGTAGGCCACTGTAACCCTTTTTTGTAACATACATTTTTGTGTCATAAATTTATAAAACTATGTTGTACCTATAAAAATTTGGGAAAACAGCCCATTTAAATGAAATATGTAGATCTTTCATTGAAACAAATTTGTATTTCATTGGATTGAAATATTCTTGCCTATATTCGGTGAAATGAAAGAGACTTCTACAAACAAACAAGCAAACAAAGGCAATTCATGTTTAAACAATTGTTTTATGTTTGATAGTTATTTGACAGTTTTTCATTGCATAGTTTTATTGTTATATGGAATCTTCATGTTGATTATCTTATGCTTTTATTCTGATGTTTCAATCTTCTCAAACTTTATGGATGCAAAATTCTCTGACATTTATATTCAGTACATTTGATATATTTAAGCATGGTTATAAATGTTTAAGCTAAAGATGCCTAGGTGAGAGCACTCCTATAGTGATACAGAAGCAGTTAAAAGCAACAAACACAAATATAATGTAAAAACTCATGTACAGCCACTGGAAAACATTTACTGTAAAGATATTTCCAGTGAGTATAATTTACTTTTTCTCATATTACAAATGAGACATTGATTCCTGATGCAAAAAATTTGTTGTTTGTTTATTGTGCTCAATAAAGATGCATCCTTTTTAGCTCAGTTATTAGACATAAAAAACCAATATTATAAGGAGAAAATTGTCTTTAATTTTACTTTAAGTATAAATGTAAATTACTCTTTTAAGCTTTACCTTTATATTACTGTAATGATTCTGGCTTTTTTGATAGTTTTGCTTTTTGTTAATTTGTTAATTTGTGCAAGCATGTGTGTTCTTTATAACTGGCCCATTATGTGCATAATTGAAAATTTTTGCTTTAGAATGAGTATCCATGCATTATATATTCATGCAGAATGTGTTTACTGATTGAATTCTTATGTTAATTAAATGCTGTTTTTTTTTTTTTTTTTGTCTCGACTGCGACAAAAGTCGCAGTATGCGAGACATATGTATTACCATCGGGCGGCGGCGGCGATGTAAACTATTTGTATCATCTTTATATTTCAAAAGGTAGAACACCTGGATGCTTCATACCTTGTATGCAGATACCTTATGTTACGAAATTTCCATCTGTCATATGTCTATTGTCCTTGACCTCATTTTCATGGTTCAGCGACTGCTTGAAAAAAAATTACAGTTTTTTGGTAATGTGAATTTCTATCTTGTTATGAGTAGTAGGATAACTATATTTGGTATATGGGTTCCTTGCAACGCTTAAATGTCCGTCAGACAGGATTCACCTGACCTCAACCTCATTTCATGGATCAGTGATCAAGGTTAAAGTTACGTCATTAGGTCCGTTTCTCATATACTATAAGCAGTAGGTCAACTATATGTGGTTTATGGAATGATTGTAAGGGTTACATGTCAGTCTGGCAGGTTTCATATGACCTTGACCTCATTTTCATGGTTCATTGGTCAATGTTAGGTTTTATGTTTTGGTCGGTTTTTCCAAAACTAATAGCAAGGTCAGCTTTGTTTGGTGTATGGAACAATTGTAAGGTTTACATGTCTGTCTGACAGATATTATCTGACCTTGAACTCATTTTCATGGTTCATTGATCAATGATAAGTTTTCGTAATTTTGTCAGTTTATCAGATACTATAAGCAACAGGTCAACTATATTTGGTGTATGGAATGATTGTAAGGTGTCCTGTCCGTCTGGCCTGGTTCATCTTACCATGCCCTCATTATCATAGAACATTGATAATGTTAAGTTTATGTGATAATTGTAGTAAAACCGTCATGTTACAGACTTTCAACAAAAATTCAATGATAAGTTAAATAGGTGAGACTTTCAGCGTGTGCACTCTTATATTGAAACTCGAGATGTGATTAACCACAAATGATAAAAATCAAAATTTACCCTTAATATTCAATTGCACTTTGTTGAGTATAAATAAAAATCTATTTTTTTCTAGAAAAAGTCAATCTTAAGTTGCTCTGTAGACGGTAAAATTTTAAATTGAAAGATATTAGTGTCTTAATGTACTCATACAATAATATGTACATTGAAAATGCAATGCAACATTATCATTTTCATGCCATAATAATTAAAAATTGTCTAAATATCTGATGTTGTTAGCCTCTCCTGAAAAGTAATGTTTGATTATAATCAATCCGGGCTATAAAATCACAAATCCCGTAGGTAACTGCCTTTTCCACGCATTCGAGCTTTGATTACAGTTTGGTGCTCCGATTGGATTTCAGGGAGAAATGTTAGATGATTATTCATCTAAGGTAACTAATTATAGGGGGTTAGAGATTTTCAAAATGAAATTTTGGCTTACTTATTAGAGGAAGATTTATATGGGGCTTTAATTAGGCCATTTGACAAAAATCCTTTTTCTTGTCATTTTCAAATTTCACCGTTAAATTCTGTGTATATTAAAGACTCGGTGGAACGAAGTGTCATTTTAGACTTAAGTTTTCCACCTGGAAGACCGTAAATGATTTTATCTGAAAGGATTTTCATTTAGGTGAAAAAGGACAATTGTCGTATCCAAAAGTTGATGATTTAGGTGGAATTTTTAAGGACAAAGATGGCAAGTGTCTGGTTTTCAAGAAGGATTTGAAAAGGGCCTACATACAAATCCCTATTGATCCAATTGATGTTCATTTAGTTTGTTTTCAGTGAGATGATAAGCTCTTTGTGGACCGTGTTCTTCCTATGGGTTTACGGTCAACTGCTTTGATTTGTCAAAGGATCACTACAGCTGTAACTGACTGTTAGTTTTATGTTTTATAAGATGGGATATATATTCAATAGAGTTACAGTCATTTAATACTTGGTAAACTTTATTTTGTGTCCATTTGTATACGGCCCGGTAGAATATTTGTTATTCGTTGGTTAAACTGTCTTCGAAATGCATTCACTTGAATTGTCGTAGCCAGGGGACACAAGATATTTAGAAGGATCC